CTGACGTAAATGAGACATGTGATATGGCGGCGGTCAGAGACCTTTCAACGAGTGATAAACAACACGCTCTCCGATCGATGAATGGAAAAGCCGGTGGCATCTCCACGATCATAGTAGTTTGTTTAGTTCTCCAGGCCATAATCAAAGACCAAGTTGAACAGTTGAACAAACTCGGAGTTGCAAGAACGGCAATAGGTATTGACGAAAAAGCCGTAAAGAACCGGAAAGTGCGAGATTGTGTGTAAATACAGTTCGTGACATCTGTACATTTGCCGGTCTGTTTTCGGTATATCAACCTTTCGCTTTGCAGAGTTTGACACCTCTGTGATTTGCCTTAAAACCAGCGTGTTTATACTTTGTTAAGGCTCATTTCTATTGCAAGATATGTTTTGAAGTCTTTAAGTATTGGCTTTCGAGGGACAAAGTTTGAAATATTCCGCGAACATGTTTCAAAATAAGGTTGGTAACTGAAAACCACAAGCCAGCGGTCTTGTTACGGGTGCCTGTAGGCGGTCTATAAGTAGGCGGAAGGATGCCCACGGGCGTTTTTTCGCTTCCTCTCACCGCATTTTTTTTTCGCGCGCTGATTTTCGCACTACGCTCCAACTAAGTGAACGCCTGGAAGAGGCTAGGGTTTCCTTTCTTTGCTATATAGGTATGGGGTTCCGCTAATAATAATTTTCTCCCACCCTTCCAATGACACCTCGCGCGCATTAATCTACCCTGTTATGCAATCTTCTCACCCCCCCAAAACACGTAAATAGTGACTGGGTACGAGTCTAATCCTAATCCAGTTTGTATCAAGAGTCCATTATTCCCTGTATTTTCTCTTTTTCGCTTAGTTTACATTTCCCCGATATTCCCTGTTCTTCCCTACATTCCCCTGTTTTTTTTTCTGTGCTTTCCTACGTTCTCATGTTTTCCCCTGTATTCCCTCGTATTCTTTTAGGGTCGCCCCAAAGGCCGGCCAAGGCGATTCAAAGTCGTATATAAGGCTCAAAATGCTCTTAAAAGTCGTGTTCGTGAACATGTAAAATGAATAATTGTCCTCGTCATGTCACAAAAGCACGTCATCCCGCATCCCGATGAAACAGGCCACGTTTGCAATGATTTTCACGGCGCAGAATCATAACTGCAAACGAAGAAACGATTGAGAAATCAAAACTGACTCGTAAGTACGTGCTTTGAGATGATGTCATTTATTTTCGTTCCTTTTGCATTCTGCGGGGAGGTCAAATCCATTCCCAAAAAATCTCAACCCAGTCCGCATTACGACTGCAATCACTTTCTTGTCGAATCGGCCTGTTCGTATGAATTGGCCAATCAGCGAGGGTCTTAGTTCAGCCTTGAATATTTGTGTTGTCCTAGCCTGCGAACAGGCTACGGCGGGGACCGAAAAAAATTTCGGCGAGCGCGAAACAGAAGAATTCGGAGAGCAAAGCGATCGGGGCTTCGTTCGGGCTCACCGCACCGGGAGCCTGTTGTCCTGGGGACAGAAAGACCATGGGAACGAGTCAGGACACTGACAAACACGTGACTTAGGGAAGAGCTGCGCATGTGCATTCCGTCGAGGAGGATTTTGCTCCACATGCAAAACACTGAATTTTGCTGCAGATTATAAGGGGAGGAAAATTAATCTCAAGCTACCCATCATCTGTTTTGTATCGGTTTACAAATTTTCTGCTATGTGAGATTCTTCCCGTGAAACGAGGTAGGGTTTAAAGTCTTCTTTGCGGGTAATTTTGGCTTGATATGGAAGCCATATGCAGTTTCAATGTTGCATGTACTTGCATTTCCTGTCAGTTTTGAAAACAGCAGGAAACTTTTGAAATCGTTTACATTTTTAGGTCAGGGTTATGGCGATTCATTAAGCTCTAAGCTTTAGTATGCTCCAATTTGTACGGTTAAAATTTGCTGGGTTTGTTGTTACAATATGTGATGAAATTATCTATGCTATACTAACACTTTATTTGTTCCAATCGATCATATCGACAGGCTGTAGATGACACATGTTGACCGTCTTGTTTTGAATTTTGCTTGTGTATGTGGAAGTTTTAAACTATATTCCATTAGGCACAATAAGACAAGTACTTCCTGAAATTTGAAAAGACTCAGTATTAACTGAGGGTGTTTGAGAGTTGTCATTCAAACCAACATGTAAACATAAGGTATTATCACTTGTATTCAACATCATGATAATGCTGTTACGTTTAGGTCTGCGGCTAACCTTAATTGTAACCTAAACTTAGGAAAGATAACTGTGTAACCCCACTCTTAAGGACGGTTCCAACTAAATACAAAGGCCTTTTTGCCAAATTAGGAGCATATAGAAAAAGTAGATTTTAGCAAGGGCTGTTAGAATCCACAAAGAAAACTGGGGTTAGCCACGCATTTTTCCAAGGTAATTAGCCTTGGATCTCAAATAAAATGCTGAAGTCAGCATTTTTCTGAAAAAGAAGGTAAAGATATTTTTTCACAGATTTTCTTAGAATTCTCCTTTACATAGAGAAAAGCAAACACATTTACAAACATTTATAGACATCTTTAAACTACATGGTAAATGGTAACGTAGCCTGCAAGCAGGCTTATGTTTGAGCACAAGTGCGAGTGGTGTAGCTGTGATTGCGGAATCTAGTGGCTTTGTTGTGAGACGAGAAAGTGAGTCTGCTCTGATATTTGCAAATTATTCATTTCCACCCTGGAAACTGCTGGAAAAAATAAGTGCATCAGTTTTCATTGGAAGCATGAACTTTGGCAGCTCAGATTTCTCTGGAAAATTTTCAGTCTTTTTCAAAACAACATGCAGGCGGTTTTTCAGTTCTGTTATTTCTGAATAGCGGTAATGGCATGGTACTGGAAATGATTGTTACCGTGAAATCCTAGGGCTTGATACTACGTGTTCTTACAATGTGCAATCACCTGCTGCCCCTCTATTGTACTTTCTCAGGGAAGCAGATACTTTAACATCTATGGCTGCTTGATCATTCAACTCTCTGCCCGACAGTGTCAGATTTTTGAACAATTAATTTTTCATTTGTAAAGGCTGCAAGAAAATTTTGGTTTCAGAAAGTGAAAGTACCGTGCCTATTTATTTTACCGTACTTCTGTTGCCGGTGATCATTGTTGTTGCTTTTTTGTTCCATCTATTCATTTACATTGTGAATAAACCTATTGCAGTATTGTTTTGTATTAATAGCTCTAAATTTGGCGACAGAATAACATGCTATTGTGTGACTGTTTGCTAATTTAGTGAGTTGTTGTTTATCAGTGAAATTAACTTTTGCATTTCAAATAAGACCAAATTGTTCCATTTCCCCTTTTTTGTCGGATATTAAATTGTTTCCATTTATCCCTAGCAGTGAAAAACTAACATGTGTTTTCAATAAGACAAGGGTATCATGCTACATACCTTTGTGAGGAAAACAAGTATGAAGTTATAGCTGTTTGTGTGAAAAGTGAAATTGTCACGTTTGCTTCTTCAATGTATTGTTTAATTTTTTAAATCAAAATTCAAAGCATTTTGACAAATGTCAGTCATGAGTTATCTTTGGACCTTGACTAAAACCATACTGACATGAAACATACACACTGCTACTGTCTGTTCATATTCTTCAAGGAGGAAAGTCCTAGCTGACTTCCAGGGTCAATACTGTGAATGGCAGGGGCCAGGACCTCTGTGACTTCTCTGTGTCACAGCTGTATATTGCTCTCTGCACTCTCTGAGGTTGTCTCACTAGTTTATATTTAATATTCTTTCAAGATTTACCTGATTATTAATTACATCTATAGTGAATTGATAATACCTTTCTTATGGTTGCAGGACATCCACATACTTGCACTTTAACAAAGGATATAGTGGTGATATTTTTTTACTGTGGCTAAGAAAAGTGATATTTTCTTATATACTACATTAATGTTTGGACACATCAATGGTTGTTACATGACACTTGACATTCCATTGTACCAAAATGACAATATCTGTACGTGGAGGGACCAGTGGAGATGTGGTGGCCCCAAACAGTACTACATCCATACAGCAAGGTAGCCAGTCAAGTGAAGCAAGTCAACAACAACCTGACAATGAGAACTCTGCTGTGCAGAGTGATGATAGTGCAAGTCTTTTGCTGCCTAATGGTGAAGTTGCATTTCCTCTTTCTGAACTGTCTAAATTGGATGAAATGATCAACAGACCACGCTGGGTGGTGCCTGTTCTTCCCAAAGGAGAACTGGAGGTACTTTTGGAAGCATCCATCAGACTTTGCCGAGCAGGTAAGAGGAATTAATTCACTTAACATTCAGGCTTTTAGCCAGGATTTGAAAAGTGGGCGTCCAAAATGTGCTATAGGGCCTGCTCAAATGAACAATTTATAAGGCAACATATGAAAAATAAAACTATTTTCTTACACAATACCTTGAGAGTGCTACTTTTGTCAAATTTTTCTTTTTAAGCAAAACAAAAAGGTCGCTATAAAATCTAACATTTCCAAAAAAATGGATGTAAAATCTTAAAACGATCGTAGGGTATTTAGAGAAGGAAGGTTTTTTGAGAAGAAGACAAAAGCGCAATTTCTTGAAGACAAGAAGAAAACTTTGACCAACAGTGGCAAGGGATCATGCATACTCGTACCTGTCCTCTTGCCCCGCTTATTTCTCTTGGTTTTTCCCATTTCTCATGAGCGGTGAAGACCTCTCTATAAACACACGCTGAAGCTAACAAGGAAAACTTGACTGTTACACAATAATTGCCATGAAATTCCCGTGAAAACCATTTCACTGACTGTGAATGCTAGGGATGTCATGATTTCATTGGCTGGCAGCATACATGTATTCTGTTGACATACATCCGAGTAAAGGTGTGACATGTTTACAACTCTTCAAATGGCGATAACTTGCAATAAGTTTTCATGAGGATACCATCTCTTTAAATGAATTAATAAGGTATGTAGAATTGGCAGATTTTCATGAAATTTGGCCAGAACATTCCTTAAGCGTGGAGGAACAAAGGAGTGTCAAGGATACAGCTGTTTCGAGAAAGGTTGTCCAACAAAACCATACGCGACAATGGCTAAAGGTATTTTGGGTAATGGGGGTTCATGGTCCTTGATTGAGGCTTTAGGTGTTCAGCGACCTAGAGGGAAACAGCACTAACAAATGTATTTATGCCTTCTCTTTTCTTGTTGGTAAACACTGTGAACCTCAGTCAATCAATGCCAAGCTCTTTCTACTCATAATACCAATCGGATGTTGAATACACTTTTACGCTTTTGTGGGACAACCTTTGTCAAAACAGCTGTATTTCCCTTGCGATGGCCGTGAACAAGAGGGTCGGCAAATTATTTGATGCTTTAAGGATGGTGCCCAATAAATACAAAGGTTTTTGTGCCAGGTTTGGACCATGCAAAAAAAGTAGATCTTTGCAGGGGCTATTAGAATCCACAAAGAAAAATGGGGGTAGCCATGCATTTTTTCGAGAATCTCAGTAAAAATGCTGACATCAGCATTTTTCTAAAAAAAAAGAAGGAAAGGATATTTCTTGACAGATTTTCTTAGAATTCGCCGTTACATACAGAAAAGTAAACACATTTATAAAGATCTTAAAACTTCATGGTAAATAGTAACATAAAAACCCTTTTTGGTATGTTTTTAATAACAAAATTGTTGCAACAGCGCTTTTGGCATCTCTGTTACAGCCTCCCTCTGCTTTAGCTTAAATACAGTCTAAATACCTTTTTCTCACAACCAGAAATTAATCACGTGTTGAATAGGCTTGCCACTTCCATTTCAGAATATAAAATGTTGAGGTAACCACACGTTTTTTAAAGTTATTGATCTTTTTTGAAAAGTTTACGGTTCCTGTTACATTTTTTCCTGTCACCTCCCCAGTAAGTAAAACACTTGCATATCTCGCACTTGCTTTGCGTGCGAACTACGCCATCTGCAGGTACATGTTTACAGTTGGATTTCAGTATAATTTTCGACAGATAACAGCTAGTATTTCAGCTGGAAGACGTTAACAGTTAGTGGTTAGCGATATGCTGCTATTCTAGTCTTACTGGTTTAAGTACAGGTTCATTAAACTTGATTTGGTCACAGTAGGAAAATTTTGCTTTCACTTTAGTTGTGTACTTGGTAGCAAAGTTGATTGCGTCAATGTCAACCCAGTGTGCGCGTGGCACTTAAACCATGCCTTGCATTATGTGCAAAACATGTGCGCACTAACAAAAGTAGGCACCATCCTTAACTTTATGGATCCAATACAGGTCTTTACGAGTCCTGACCAATGAGAATACAGGAAAACCATGACACGTTTTTGTGGATTTATGCAATATATTGCATAAGCCCATCACTCAATCGCTCTCTCAATCTTGTAATGCCCAGATTTTTTTTTGCAATTTTTTTTTTGTATTTTGGGTTTGCGGCAGTCTAAACTGATGCTGAAATGGGGCATTTTCAGAAGCTCCAGTTGAAAAAGTGAAAGCATTATTGAAAAGATTAACCCAGGAAATCAAAAGATCTTATTTCCTCTGCATATTGGCAGTGTAAAATTTAAATGAAAGCTAAATGTGAATTGTTGATGAATTTATTTGAATTTATGCTTCGCGACAGAGCTCACCACCTCTGAATTTATATGCAATTCAAGGCTCAAAAAAGCACTCTGTTACATGACTCTACCCAACGAAACTATACTCAGGGAAGAACACTCAATTCAACTACACATCAGGCCAAAAAAAAAAACAAAAATAATAAAAATTGGGGTAAATAAAACACTGAATTCTGAGAATTGTTTTGAAACTGGTCGCTTGAGTAATATGAGCAAACCTTTAACCTTTCATGTCATTTGGAAATTAACACTCGACAGCTCTTAATTTGACTTTCATTTGTTACTTTTGTTTGCTTTGCTGATATATTCTCAAGTAGAAGAAGTTAGCCTTTTGAATTTGGAAGCATCTACCCGCAATATAACAAGCACAACTGGATTATTTTTGAAATTTGACCTACTTTGCATTTAGACAGTAACGGTAAGCTCAAGTTCATGACAGTGAAATGAGAGGGAAACATGACTTATTCTCCTTGCATTTTACGATGGATTCTGCTCAAAATTCAAGCAATAAGTGCAAAAATTTTGTGCTAATATCAATTCATAGCATGGTAACCAGGGTTTTTCAAGTAGAAGGGCATCTGTTATAAAGTAGGCAGGTAATTGAATTAGTAGAATTCCGAATGCCCAAGCACCTAGGGGGATCCAGGGCCATGCTCCCCTGGAAAATTTTGAAATATTGAACTCCCAGGAATGCATTTTCCTTGATTCTGGGAGGGAAATTCTCATTTTGTCATTAGTCCTCATTCACACAAAATTCTACTAGAATTAAACAGTGCTAGAAATTACAGAATCGCTCGCTAAAAGTAATGTGTTACGCATTCCATTTTGGTTTTATTCTCTGACGCTTTTAGTTTTAGCAAAACCCGTAAGTTCTGAATTTATGTTTTTCTATTCAGCAGATAACTGATAGAAAAATGATTTTTAACATTTAGCTTTTTATAGGCTAATTAATTGTGTCATGTGTAAATTTCACGTTCAGGTTCGATGCGCTGTAATCAGATGACAAATGTAAACTTATGTAAAATAGTGCTTATGTAAGTTACTGTTACTGATATGCTGGCATGCAAAACTTGAAGTGTATTAAATTACTAAAAACTAACCTTGTGACCTTTTGGACACAACTGAAAAAAAAATTATCCAGGATGCCTTGAGATAGATCTGTGTTTGATTGCCATTGTGAATTTGACTGTTTTAATGCACCTTACAAACATGTGGTATGTCACGTGCAAGAGTTATGTAACAGCAAAGGCACCTCACAGCAGAAAGGCCCGATGAACTGCCAAAAACACTTAATCTCGCAAAAAAAAAAACAATGCGTGGTAATTGACGAAAAAGGGTTTTTAAAGGTAATAATCAACTCGCAAAGAATATTTAATTTTTATTAGAGGCTGACTTGAGTATATATTTTTTTAATTTTGTGCTTGACATGCTTGTAATCCTTTCAAAGTAGACTGGTGCCGCTACCCGGGTCCTGGCTTCTAATAACAACCCTGGGTAACATTTTGAATACATCTCCCTTTAATTTATTTCTCTGAGTGACCCAGCCATTAAATTCTCAAGCATTCTGCAGAAAGTTGATGCCAAACCCTGTAATAATGCTTAAAGTGTGCGAAATTGGAATTTGAACTGAAGAGAAACGTCAATTTTAATTAAAATATAAATACATGTATCTCCAAATTCAGTTTTCTCTCATTGGGCCAGTTTGAGAGTTAAAGTCTCAATAAGTTCGTCTTAACTTATTCAAATATTCCAATGTCATGAAGTCTTTTTGGTAACTTTATTTTTGCCATTATTGCTTGGATGTTCAGCAGAAATCATGTTTATACATAACTTCCTTTATTTTAATTAGCTGTTTATTAGCCCTGCTTTTCTCTTCAAACAGTCAGAGCCACACTTGGCTTTTCGGACAGTTGGTTGCAGGGTTATGTGATAAGTAAAGAGAACTCTGCTCATACAGTGTAATAGTAAGCTCAGTGTTTCTTAGCTGAATTAAATAGTGTGCCAATCAATTTAACAGGATTGGATACTAAGAGTGAAGAGTGTCAGAGGTTCTTCAGGGATGGATTAACCACTTCATTTCATAAAATTCTCAATGACGAGGCAGTCAATGGATGGAAGTATGACATTCATGTGAGTTTAACTTTTTCGTGTTTCTTTTCAGGTATGTAGCTAAGGGAACACTAGGCTGGCTCATTAACAAGCTCTTGTCTTGGCTGCTGTAAAGTTTACCCAAGTCTTTGTTTTTGTGTTAAATTTTGGCCACTTTTAAGTTCTCTTTCAACCAGCAGCTGATCCTTAGTGATTTCCTTGTATCTTTCAAAAGTGTTGTGTTTAACACAAGAAAATAAAATTCTCATCTTCGAGCCACCATGTAATTTTTGTGTGGGCTTATATGAAGTATAACCCACACTAAGCTGTCATAAAATCTTGTAACTTTGTCCATGGTATTATTAAGACTGACAGGTGACTGTCGAGAAAGGCAATGCATTATTGTCCATCTCGTGGTCTGGGTACTAGCAATGTCGGGTGAAGGCAGCCATATTGCTACAACTTGTTGGGTGTATCATGCTGTTGCTATTTTTTCTGTTTTGAATAATCTTTGGCCAGCTTTCTGTTGCAAGTTGGTTACAGTTTTCATGGTTAAAAATTTTCCAACTTGTGCCTTGTTTCTTCTTGTTATTTCATCCAGGTATTGCTGGGTGAGTTTCTTTGGCAATACTGAGGTTGTTTTGCACATGCAAGCTATTAACTTATCCAGGCTCTGCTAGTATTTATTGTACATTGCATGGGGTGTTCTCTGCACTTTACTTCACTGTACTGTACTGTACTGTACTGTACTGCACTTCATTTCACTGTACTGTACTGTACTGTACTGTACTGTACTGTGCTGTGCTGCGCTGCGTTGCGCTGCACTGCACTGCCCTGCAATGCAATGCAGTTATAATTACAGCATGTAATGTAAATATGCAATACAATACCAATAGAGTTAGTTTTTAACAGATCTAAATAATCAAAGCAGCATTGAGCTCCATAGGTAATGTCAAATGCAAATTTACTATAACAGTGGTGACATTTGCCTAGAGATGCTATAGCAGATGAAACACTAATAGACAGCTTGACCTGTCTCTGTAAAGAGATTGAAGAACTAAATATTGTAATGAAAGCTGTTGAACAATGCTCTTACATTTTGAATTAAATACAGTGCAAAACAATTCTGATACAAACAACAGTGAGAGACATCTGAACTGTGCCTTGTGAGCAGAAGAAAGTAGTAGCAATGGGAAGTGGAGTACTCCATTAGACCTTTAATGTTTGTCACACAATCATTTTCCAGAAAATGTTATGGAAACCATTACCCACTGATCAACATATTCATGTAATCTTTCAACAATCTATTATAAGAAGCATCCAATATGTATCAACAATATTGCTTTCTTTTTACTGTGCTTACGGTATCATTTTGACAAAAGAACCTGCCTTGTCTATGCAAATTAATTATTGTTATTCAACATGTCTATATTTCTTAATTCATGGCAAAAATCATCAGAACCTCAGTGAAATTCAACATAATCGACAAGGTGTCTATTTGGAACTAATTGGTGAAATTTCAGTTACAGACGTTATTATGTAACAGACTTAGTAATTCCACGAAACCATCTTGAGACTTCATGCTCAAGTTAATTTGACATCTGTAAACAAAGTCTTCTGTCAATAGGACTTCTTGCTTAAAATTTATATTGACTTGTATGTTGATATCAGCAATCTAAAAATCTACATGATCTAATTCATTATTTTTTATACTAACCTTTTCAGGGATTGCCTTCTGACTTGTAGCACTTTTACTCCCACATACTGACATTTAAAATAACTCTCTAGCTGAATGGAATAAATTTAAGCCCATGCACAAGTACGCATTGTGGACCTATTTTTCAAGTATGCGGTATTGATCTGAAAATCAGCTAATGCAAAATCACAGCAAATGGGTAAATACTTTCTGGCGGTACTGTGAGTCATCAATGTCCTCACTATGGAGGACATGAAAAATATGCCACTTAGATCCCAGACTGGTCAGCTCCCAATGAATTGTGCGGGTGGTGTATTATCTTAATAAATGTATAAATGTATGTTATAACTGGCCAGAAAACCATGATGCTAAGTATTAACCACATATTGAACTGATCTGACAGAAAGCAATTTTGAAGAATACAGAGAAACTTGTGGAATTGTGTGTGACAAAACTGCAGCAGGATTGGTTCCCACTTCTGGATCTTCTTTCTTTGGTCTTTAATCCCATGTCCAGGTTAGACACTACTGCTCTAATTAACAATTAGACCCGTAGCCCGCAAGGGCTANNNNACTCGATGACTATTACTAATAGTCCCCTAGTAGCGTAGCCAATCAAAATGCAGAATTTGCATTAGTCCACTAATTGGGATACTAAAGAAAGTTAGCACCATCCTGTTTTGTTTCTTGTGAGTTTCTTTTCTCCCAATGTGAGGATGATGTCTTGAGAGAATCCATGAAGAGGCAATTTGCAGTTTCAGAAAATATTGGATTCCATACTCCCCCCACAGAAGGGATTGGAATTTCCTAGGGGTTGGGTGGTTCTCTAAGACCAAAACATTTAAAGAAATGTATCAAGCTTAATGGGAATTTCCAGAGGGATAGGGGTCTTGGAGAAAATCACTTCTCTGGGGAAAGTATGGAAAGTATGCATGATGTTAGAACAAATTGTGAGCGAATTGGTTTGTGAGAAACCAATATATTTTGTGTGACCTGATTGTCTCGGTTATTATTTAGATTGTAAGTGGAGTTTAACCCATTGACTCGCGGAGCTTTTTGCTAAAAACGCATTTTTTGGACATTCTGGAGATTTTCAGGCTGGATATGGGCTAAATTAGCTCCAATCTACTCAAAAAGGCATTTTCAACATGACAGCATGCCTTTCTTTCCACTAGCATCGTGTTTTATGACATTTTTGCTTTGGGCGTGTGCAGAAATCGCATTCATTTAGAGAAGAAAATTAATAAAATGTGGGTTGTACATCAAGCTCCCGAGACCTTAAAGTTGTTGAACAGGGAGGTGTGTAGGCCTGGAATTCCATTCATTGTTTGTGAGGGACCTCAACAGGCATCATTATGTTTGATTGGATGCCAACGCAAAATATGCACCAACGATACATATACATAAAGATACTGCTGTAATGGCATCTGAATATCATTCGAGTGAATATCATTCGTGATGTTGAAGGAAAATAATGCAGGATTTGCCTTCACATGTTCAAATTTCCATAGTAATTAAGAAACAAAAATTGATTTATTCATTAGTTGTCAAATTGCAACTGAAGAGGTCAAAGATTTAGTTGCCTCACTTTAAGCCCTATTGAGACAGTTGTGTGACTGGAAACTATGAGCAAAAACTTCTGGGCAGATGTAAAAGTGTAAATCTCATTTGCTGGAAGTTGTAGGGATTCAAACAGGGAATTCCAGAGGTTGATGTAGAAATCATAAATGCAGAAGTGAGGAGGGGTTAATGATTCTGAAATTCAGAGGGCATGTAGGGTAGGGCATTTTGGAATTTCCAAAGGCTATGGGGTAATATGTAAGCTGTCTGTGGTTGGGTATGGATATTTTCTGGGTCACCAAATTTACATGTTGAAATCAAAACTGGATTTGCTAGATTCATCAAAGCTGTCATAAATGAAGTACCTACATGTAACTGGAAGAAAAGTTTAAAATCAACATCCTGACAGCTGATGCATAAATGTGCATAGTTCTGCACTTTGTCCTGGATTATTATTTTAGGCAGTCAGTTCTGTCTGAGCAATATTTCATTACATACATATTGTAAAAGCTAAACCTGGGATTTTTCACTTGTAAAACCTGCATTAAGTGATCACAATGTTAAATGAAGTACTTAAGTTTGTTTTTGATGTGGAAGAGTAGGCATGACGTCTGTATTAGTTCACAACCTGTTGTAGCATTTGTTAAGCAGTTTTTTTTTCAGATTTAATATCTACAATGGTGCAAGACCTTCAGAAACAGTTCCCCAGGGAGCTCAGGTTAGTTGCTATACATAGTCCTTAAAGGAGCTCAGTCATGGTATTTTGAGTTATTTTGGCCACATACAAAATTACCTTTAAATGCTAGGAATCCTGAAAATAACAGTTTAATAAGAGAGAAAAACACCAGAGAGATAATGATAAACCATTAAGGAACAAGGATGGCTAAGGATGGAGAAGATTAACACAGATTGCAAATGACGAATTTGAAAAATTGAGGCTAAACCTTTCAATATGTGCAAACTGGGACTGAGCCCCTTTAATATTTCATGAATTTAGTATTGTTAAAATGTACATGTACCTCTCCTGTACACTGGTGAAAAAATAATAAGAACTTACACGGCTCGACACCACACTGTAACTCTTACTGTACTTGCTTCCTATTGAGAAGTAAACTTTTGTACTTGAAAGTGAAANGAACTTGGTGGGTGTGAACTTGATTGGATGTGCAACAGGTAACATTCATCCTGCTTATGATGGCAGGTGACTGAGGTTAGTTTTTAAAACTTGAGACAAAACTCCACTTGGGCTAACCTCTGTCAGGGGACACAGAATCTTGGTAATTTGTAATCTGACTATCAAGATTGAGGGAATGTAATGTTTATAAACATGGAAATGCACTTGTATTAAAAGGAAGAATTACTGCTAGTATTGAAGTTAATAATAATGATAAAAAATACCATTTAATAGATTTGTGGAACTTAGAGCAAATCATTAATTTATATGAAGCTTCATTTTCTTCTCTAGGGATGGCTTGTAGATCTGGTTAACAAGTTTGGTATACTTGGAGGCTTTAGTGTATTACAGAAAAGAATATGTGACGGCAATAATCTTAGTGTTCCACTCTTAGCAGCACTGCTTAGGTTTGTTATACACTTTTTTATCTACTATTCTGTTCCTTTACTGACAGAATTGTTTAAGTGAAAAAAGCATCTTTGAGGTTTCCTGTGGCATGAAATCAACATTTCACTTTTTTCATGATATCAACATCTCTGAGCTTTTGTGTTGATGTGNAATATAACGAAGAAAGCACTGAATATAATAAAAACAGAACCGAATATAATGAAAAAAACACCTAATATAACGAAGAAAGCACCGAATATAACGAGGGAAGCACCAAATATAATGGAATAAGCACCGAATATAATGAAGGCAGAACCGCATATAAAGACATAAGCACCGAGTATAATGGAATAAGCACAGAGTATAATGAGTTAATCACTGAATATAATAATGTAAGTACTAAATATAATGACATAACCACCCAATATAATAAAAAAAGTGTATCATAAGACAGTTCTGGCATTCCATAGGGTTAACTTCAGGTGCATTGTCACCTTAAAATCTGCCTGTTGAGATGTGTTTGTTGAGGATATATTTTCATCTCCACAGGATTTTGTACCTTCCTTTCTTGAGAACTTAACTGATGATGAACTTAAAAAAGAAGCAAAAAATGAAGCTAAGAATGATGCTCTCTCATCAATTATCAAGGTATTTAGTTTAAAGTTTGTTTTATTGTTTATTCATGAACTCTTAGAATGTGCACGTGATAGCATGGATGCCTCTAGCTGTAGTCATAAATTTCCCTTTATTAATTAATTGTATGCCTGTATGACTCTGTCCTTTATTACACAACTGTATCTTGAACTACTCTCTACATTTTGGTTATGTCCTCCTTTATATTATGAACTGTACATCCTTTTACTGTAGCTCTACATTTAAGCCTGATCTTTCTATATAGTATAAAATGTTACCCCTCTACGGCTGTACCTGTTAGTCTTAGCATGCTTTGTGTTATAAACTGTAAACTACAGTAACTATGCCTCTATTTTTTAGTTATAACTTCATCTGCATTATAAACTGTATACTTCTCAGCTCCACATTTTAGTAATAACTTCTTCTGGATCTTACAGATTGTTCTGTCTTGTTACTGATTAATCTGTCTTTAGTTCTTACTAATTGTTCAATCTTCTTTCTGATCCATCGTCATGTGATTATTTCATCTTGCTACTGATTATTTCTAATTGTTACTGATTGTTCTGTCTTGTACTGACTGTTACAAAAGTGAAGAATGATCATCGCAGTAAATTTTCCAATTTGAGCAATTGGAAAGAAGAAGCCTGGAAAAATCAGGGCTTCAACGGGATTCGAACCCGTGACCTCCGGTGCGATGCTCTACCAACTGAGCTATGAAGCCACACATTGGGAGCGAGGTCAATTAATTGAGTTCAATTAACTGAGCTTCACTTTCATCTACAACCGCAGTTCATATATGAATTATTTCATATAAACTTCACATCACTGACTGTTACCTTGTGTTACTGGTTATTCCATCTTGTTACTAAGTGTTTCATCTTGTAACTGAATGTTCCATCTTCACACTGATTGTTCTTTCCTTATATGTACTGTTCTGTCATGTTGCTCATTATTCTGTATTGTTACTGATTGTTCCATCTTTTACATCTTTCACAAATGCATGGTTAACTGGCTGGTCTAATATTGGGGGATTCGAGAAAATATCCATACCCTACCACGGACGGCATGAACATTTAACCCCCCCTTGCCTTCGGAAATTCTAAAATGCTCTACCCCCCATGCGCTCCGAATTCCAAAATCATTAACCCCTCCTCCCCTTCGGAATTTCTGAATTTTTTTCAGACCCTTTGGAATTCCTGTTTGACTGCCTAAAACAAGAAAATTCTGCTCACAATTTTATGGTCAAGCAAACAAGCAACTCAAGTTTGTTAAAGTGCCACTGAAACGAAATTTTCGTACNAAATAAAGCTTTGAACATTTTTTTGGTCACATTTTTTTCAATAAATGTCTGGCAATAGAAAAGTTCTTTATGTAATGTAATATAACTCTTCCTTCAATTTGCCCTGTGGGAAACTTATGTAAGTATTTTCGATGTTGAGGGTGGTTACCACAGCCATATCTCTTGTTTAGTCTATAAAAAGTAGTCGAATGAAAAAGAGAAATTGGTGGATTTGGAATGTTGATGAATCCACAACAAGGCAAATTATAGGTCCGCAGACATGTGCCTGCTTACGTTTACTTGATATAATTAGTTTATAGTTGATAATTTTTGAAATGACTTTTGAAAGCCTTTTTGAAAGCTCAAGTAGTGCATGTACAGTGTAACTAGGTAAGTAGACAAGAATTAAATTACAGACTGTTTATACAGCCTGCTTATAAATTTTAATATGGATTATTTTGATTGGCACTGGAACATTGTTATTGGACATGCCATCATAGTTCCTAGCTCTCCTCTAGGAGAATAGTGTCAAATTGCACAAGGAAGCGACTGTGACTGTGACTGTGTAACTTTTACCAAATTCTTCCCATCATGCTCATTTGGGAAGATGGTGTGAGACTTTTGTGAGTGTTTTCCCACAGAAAACATCTGCCATTTGAATCTGTAGTAGCTTGCTGTGTAAATATTTTACCCCACTGTGTTCATCAGTCAATCAGCAGTTTATACCGAACTGTGATGAATTTATAGATGTTTTTCTTCATGATTAATTTATAAGTTGCTCATTGGCAAAGTGGGAAGGTTCCAGCTGGGTGATTTGCAGTTGGCGGGTTGAGGTCGGCTGTTTGAATCCCGGTGCTGGCCTTTTTTCTCCCTTCAAGCTAGTAAGGGATGTCATGGGCTCCTGCTTGCATTTATATAGGTACTGGAAAATAGAAATGTTCAAGCCATAAAGTAATTTGAAATAATTAACAGAAGAAAAACACTTCTCGAGTGTGAAAGTTTTGATTAAAACCGGCTGTCAAAGTGGTCAATGGATGAAGTTATACACACACCTTTGTTAAATGCAAAATAGTCTTTAATTTGAGAGTACTTGTTCAACTCCAAACACAAGATCAGTCCATTGCTTTGGCAGCCATTTTGTTCACAATGGTCAGGTAAATGTTGCCCTTCTCGCAAATTATCCTGGTCAGCAGAATAACTATCAAAAAAAGTAGTTTATGACCCACTGACTGACTGACCGAGTGGCTGAATTATTTCTTCCTCAACTAACCACTGTAACTCATTTTAGCTATGCTATCACTCGTTAAAAAGCTGTTGGTTAGTTTTCAGTTTTTCTGCAGTTTGGGAAGTTATATTTATTTCTTATCTTGTAAAGCAGGAAAATAATTATAATTCCTTGTGAAGGTTCAGTGTGTTTTAAAGAAATAGGGGAAAACAAAGGAGAGATTTTAGTAAGGATCAGTAATCGGGTTGATGTACTTGAATGTATGTTCAATGTAACACAACAATCATAATTTATGAATATGTTATATAAACTTTTTGGCTGATGCAAAACTTGTACTTGTTGTTTTTAGGCTCTTAAAAACTTGGCATTTAGGCTAACATCTCGAGAAGACATTGCCAAACAACTGGAAACATTTAAGCTTAAAATGATTCTTAGGTAGGTTGGAAAAGAAAGTTTCCAGTTGCTTTTCAAGTTAACTAATACTGTAAAAGAATGTATGACACTACTTTTGACTATTTTCCCCCAGGTTACTTCAAATTTCTTCATTTAATGGCAAGATGAATGCATTAAACGAGGTAATCATTGTAATTTAAAATTAATAAATCATAAGGTGCTAAAACTGTAAAGATAGAATGGAATATGAGACTGTTATGTTTGACAGTGTCAGGCAGGTAAAGACACAAAGACATTAGAGGATTGATGTTATTGATGCATCCAGTTGCTTACACCAAACAGCTGCAGCCATAAGTAGACCCTCTCAGTTGGTATGTGCACTGATACAAGGTCAGCAGTCACCTGTCACACTGACAAAGTGTCAGGGAAACACACAGGAAACCTAAAAAATGCCTGCCATAATACAACACTATAAAGTATTAACCCATAGATTTATGTGAAGTTGTGAAGTAATTAGGTTAACAAAAAAAATATTGTTAAGTAAGTAGGTATTTATTAGAATTATGTTATAAACTGTATACATTGGGAAATTGCTGTTCATAATAACATTACAAAGTTCAAGACTATATGTAGATTTCGTTTGTAGCTTTTTTATTTTTCGTCTTTTTGGCTTTATTTTTCTTGTCTTCTCTTTGTTGTTTTTAACATTTACTAACCCATAGATTCATGTGAAGTTGTGAAGTAATAAGGTTAACAAAAAAAAAAAACTGTTGTTAAGTAAGTAGATATTTATTATATGTTGTAAACTGTTTGTAAATTAAAAAAAAAGGTACAGTATGCTTGATTTTGAAAGCACATGAATTGTGTTGCACTTTTGTGCATGCTAAGCACTATTGACACTTGTTGTTAACTCCTTAAAAGTTCATAGAAATGTATCATTGAAATAAGAGTTTTGTTTGGCAGATAAACAAAGTTATTACTGGTGTATCATACTTCACTCACCGACACACTGTAACAGAAGAGGATGAGTGGCTGACAGCTGACAGAATGGCAGTGAGTATACATGTAACACTAGACATAGTCTTTCAGTCTTTCTGGGGATTTACAGAGTGATCAGCCATAATGAGGGCAAGCTGAAAGAGAAAGTTAAGAGCAGGGCCATGGGAGCTTTCTCGACTGATGATATGTACATTGATAAGGATTGATGGGTGATAAATTTGTCCAACTATCAACTCAGTTTACATGAAAAATGCGTGCTACAAAATGGGCTAAATTTTGCTACAACCCCAAGAGTCATCCCAATCGCCAACATTGTAACAAATATTGAAACAGGAGTTTACAACCTTTCTGAAAACTCTAAAGTGACAGTATGTGCTGCTGCTGTCAACATTTTGAAAAACAGCAAACCAGAGACCAACCCTAACATCTGGCGACAACAACTCACCGCAGTAATGAACCTCAAACAGGACTCTTCTGTTACTGTTGTGCCAGTAGATAAGATGAAGGCTGTAGTTGTCATGGACACAGTTGAGTACAGAGAGAAGGTTAGTGCTTTATTCAGTGATGCCAACACCTACATAAAGATTACAGATAAATACAGAAACCCAACATCAAGAGTTGGAAATGATCTTAACCGACAAACCAACCATAGATCCACAAACCTGGTACACCTCTATGTCCCATTACCAGCTGTATCAACTCATCAACCTACAATGTATCCAAAAATTTGGTTTCCATGTTATCACCACTGCTGAACGAAAAGTACTTGGTAAAGAACAGTTCTGTGTTTGCCCAGCAAATAAAAGAACAGCAGATTTCAGAGGATGAGGTCACGTTATCTTTCAATGTCTTTTCTCTTTTTACGTCCATTCCAGTAGAGCTTGCTTTACAGATCACTCATGAAAAATCACATCTTACAGGGCATTACTCTACCAAAGCGTACATACGTTTCTGTAGCAAACATCATGAAGTTGTTAGAGTTTGTCTTAAAGAACAGCTATTTCACTTACAAACAAGAAGATCATTACCAGCAAACATTAGGCTGTGCCATGGGCTCACCAGTAAGTGCCACAATCGCTAACCTGATGATGGAGTTTGTAGAGGAAACAGCAATTTCCACTGCCGCTCATCCTCCATGATGGTTGTGCAGGTACGTGAATGATAGCCATACCTGCGTAAAGAAAGACTACATGGAAGAGCTCTATAGCCGTTTGAACTCTGTTGAACATAAAGTTTACTAACAAGGTTGAAGAATACAACAGGCTTTTTTCTGAACACTACAACCATCAGGGTACATGGAGAGATACAAGTGAGTATATACAGAAAACCAACACACACAGACAGATACCTTGACTACAACTCCCATCACCCAGTC